TGTATCTTTGAGTATGTGTTTTCTGTAGTTTTTAGTATTTATGACCTGATCCTGTATGGCAATCATGAATCCTTCCGTCTCCCCAAAGAGGCATCCCCGATCTAACCGGCTGTTTGACGCAGTTTTGTCAACAAAATCCTGGGTCAGGTCATAAGGATGCCTGCCATGGAGTGCCTTTCGAGCCCACGATTGCTTGATGGTGTCTATGCTTTTTATGTGTTGTGTCATGTCTGTGTGATGTGAGTGTTAGTTTAATGGTGTGCTATTTGAGTCTGCTAGAGTTACTGCTTTATGTAATTGTGATGTTTCTTGTTTCCTGTAGAAAAACTCTCGCAATGACTGTATTTGTTTGTAGTGAAGGTTAACTATGTCAATCAGGCCACGTCCACCTTCTTTACGTGGAAGGGTTAATCTTTCTGTAGCGGATTTAGGTTATTGTTATTATTATTATTATTAATTAGTGGATTGTATCCTACTTGATGTTGAAGTCTAATGCTAAGCTGAATCAAGGTCAAGGCATAGCTACAAAAAAAAAAAATTATATTGTTTATGAGTTCTTCATGTATGTATCTGTATTTCAGAATTACCAGTGTATGTGTGATGTGTTTGTATAGCTGCTTTCTGTAATATGATTTACATGCTGTTAAAACCTAATGCATTTTTCTAGACTTTGTTGTGTAATTGGTATGATGCTTGTACAGAAAAAGAACAGAAGTGGTATATATCTTATCCATTTCTCACAGGTACTTTACTTTTGGGCAAGTTCTGAATATTAATCAATTTTTTTGGTGTGTTGTATGTCATGGATGTTTGGAATAGATATGTTTGTGAATATATATAATAATAATAATATAGATTTATTATTATTTCTTTATTACTATTACTATTTGGTTTTTGATAATTTCAATATTAAATACATTTTTAAAAGTAGTTTCATTTACATTTATATTTTTAATCTTATGTTATAGTTTAAAAAGAAAATCTGAAAGGTATTTTCAAAAAATAACTGAAATACATTTGACAGAATTCATTGAAACTTGATATGTTTATATACCTCATTATAAAATTAAGAAACATTACTTTTTATTTTCTATTTGAGTTTTACTATTAGAAAAAGAGAGAAAATAGTTTGCTATAATATCACTATGATCAAATTTTGATTTAAAAATAGCAATATAGAGGTAAATTACTAAAATCAATTAAAATGTAATTTGTAATGTAACGAATCCAGACATGCCTCACTTTAAAGAGCTTGCTTTACAGCATTTTGCTAACAGTATTTTTGAACACATTAATTTTGGCACTTGTCTTGCCCTTGAGGATGTTTTTGGAGATTTTTTTATTATTATTATATTTGGATCATCATTTTAGACCTAGTGTTATTGCACACTTAATAATAGTATAAATATATTTTGTCTTTTATATATATTGGCAAGTGGAAAAAAAAGGATGTGTTTAGCTTTAAGACTGTATTCACTTTACAGCAATAGTCTGGAATTTAACCTACATATTAATAAAATATGCTGTGATTAATGAATTAAAATAGTAAAAAGAATTTATAATACTTAGAATCAAAGTTAATTCATGTATAAAAAAAGAAAAATATCAATTAATTTTAAAAAAATAACATTACCAATGAAAAGTAATGCTTAATATGTTATATTTTATTTTTTAGGTCATTTTCTATGATATTGACTGGAATCCAACTGTTGATCAACAGGCAATGGATAGAGCTCATCGTCTAGGCCAAACAAAACAAGTTACTGTCTATCGTTTAGTATGTAAAGGTACAATTGAAGAAAGAATTTTACAAAGGGCAAAGGAAAAATCTGAGGTAAATTTATGACATAACATTGTTTGAATGTTATTTAAAAGCTAATAAATCATGATTGTTGTCCAGATAATATTGTAATTAAACTTATTAGCAGTTATACTTACAAATAAATATGGACAATATTACTATTTTTAGAATATAATTTTATTGCATTTTCATTGTTATATACAAATGCATTAGGTCAAAAATAGATATGTAGAACTTGATTAAAACTAAGATGAAATGGGTTATTGACACTTTCATTTTACAAAATATATGGATCTTGATTATTTGTAATTTGAAGTAATTATCTAGCACTTTATCACATTTATTGAGCCTGTTTTGATTTTATTTGGAAAGTATGTTTAATTACCAACCTGTACAAAAGTTTTGCATTGAAATACTTTTATATAGGTTGAACACTTCAGAAGTTTTTTGTCTAGTTAATTATTTTTTTTTTATGTTGAAGATTGAAAAATTTGCATGTCAGAAGTATTTATTTGAAAAAGTTTATTGTTTAGAACTTTTAGTTTGTTTATTAACCAATAAGACTGTAAGACTAGCATTTGACACAGAACTGCTACACTGTTATACTGTCATAGGCACACTACTATTTGCATTTTGTAATAAAAGGATATGTTGAGTTATGGAATACAATAACAAATAATATATAATAAAATATGAAATAAATTACTATAAATGATAACTTTATTATTAATTGTTACTATGACATTATTATATTTTGGAACAGCAGATATTGCAAAAAGTAGTCATGCAATTGTCTGTATTCAAGAATTAGGAACTATTATTAAAAATATTTGAAATATTGAATCTAATTTAAGGAATCAAGATACACTAGCACCTCATTACAAAATCCTTTTTCATATATTTTCCCCCTCTCAAATAAAAATGCAATAACTTTTAACAAATCTGTTGCAAAGTATGCATTTTATATTACAGTTCAACAAAGACTTTTGCAAAAGTTGTAGGTTGTTCACAGTTAGCTATATCTAAAATTTGGTGTAAGTATCAATAAACTGGAATATTTTGAAAGGAGAGCAGACTAATTGAAGTCACCAAATATCAAACTAAACACAGATGTTTTGAAAATAAGAATTGTACCACAAAAGAGATGAATAGGAAGTGATAACAGGTGTTATAGTTTGTAACAGAAAAATGAGAAATTATTTGAAAGGAATGGGTTTTTTTATTAAAAAAAAAAAAGGCAAAACAAAAACCAGCATTGACATCAAAACACAAGAAAACAAGATTAGTGATCAAAACAAAGTAATCATGAACTATAAATAACTGGACAAAGTTATATTCAATGATGAGTCATAAATTTGCATTGGTTTTGGAGATGATGCTGAAATTTTTTTAACTATTCTAATGAACCCTGTAAGGAAGAAAATGACTAAATTTTATAACTCAGTTATTATTTGGAGTTGCATGTCAAGTAAAGAACCAGGCAAGAACTTTATTGCACTACCAGTGAATGTCCAGATGTGCATTGGAGTTTTGACAAACTTTCTTATTCCATTAGTTGAAAACATGTTCGATGGTGATGATGAAGTCATTTACCAAGATAACAATGCATTTTTGTTACATGGTTCGAGTTTGTTACTAGCAATTTACGTCAACATTATGAAACCAATCATCTTCAGTTTTCTAATCAGTATCCACCAAATTCCAAATTAAAATCAGATAAACTTGCTTCTTTAAAATCAAATTTAAATAAACAACAGTCGATTTTGACGACATTTAGCAATCAAGCTAATAATGTGGCTGAAGCCAGTTTTGTTATTGCCTGGAATATTGCTCATGCAAAGCGCCCATATGGAGAGGGAGAGTTTATTAAAAAAAACTTGGAAGATGTACTTAAAGTTTTAGATCCAAATAATGCAGCATTGCACATAGTTGTTTCGCAAATTCCCATCTCGAGATACACAACCGAACAACGCATAACTGCAATTAATGCATCTCTTGAATATAATTTAAAAAATGATTTGAAGAACTGTATTGCATTCAGCTTAGCCCTTGACAAATCGACGGATATCACAGATCTTCCGCAATTGGAAGTTTTCATACGTTTTGTTTCACCTGACTTCGTTGTTAAAGAAGAATTATTAGATTTAGTAGCACTTCAAGAGTCAACTTGCGGTGTCGATATTAAAAATGCATTAGATTCCATAATGAAAATTTATGATGTGCCTCTTAATAAACTTGTAAGCATTGCAACTGATGGAGCTTCGGCAATGCTGGGTAAAAAAGTCAGTCTTATTGGGCTTTTAAAAGATGGTTCTCAAATTCCACAATTCATACCAATTCACTGCATAATTCACCGAGAACATCTCGTTACAAAATATTTAAAATATCCTGATGTTATGAAAACAGTGTTACACATTGTAAATTACATTCACACCAATGCAAAAAATCATCAACAATTCAAAAATTTCCTTGAAGAATTAAAGGACAAAGAACTTCCAAATGACATTAATTTCTTTTGCACTGTTAGATGGTTATCTAGCTACAACGTATTAAATCAATTTGTAGATTTGTTTGATCCGATAACTGCATTTCTAAAAGAAAAGGAAATAACCTATTCAGAATTAGACAATGACAAGTGGTTACAAGACTTAATGTTTTTGACTGATGTCATGGAACATTTGCAAACACTGAATTTACAATTGCAGGGGAAAGATAAAATAATATCTGACCTCTCACAATGTATATTTAGTTTTCAAACTAAATTACAACTTTTTCAAAAGGACACTAAAAATAAAACATTTTGTCATTTTCCTCGAATTAAAAAAATTTGTTCCAATATTAAACAAGAAAAACTCAATGAGTATATAAAAAAGCTAGAAGGAATATTGACGGAATTCCAAAATAGATTTCAAGACTTGAAATATTTTAAATTGTCTCTTGATTTTTTTCTGAATCCATTTGAAATTAACATAATTCAAGGTGAGTTTTCCATTTCCAATATAATTATGACCCAAAAAGCATCTGAAGAATTAGAATTAATAGAGATGCAAGAAGATCGAGCTCTATAATTAAAATATAAGTCAACGTCGATTACTGAATTTTGGAAATTTGTACCAGAATCGAAGTATCCTGAATTAAAAAAGGCTGCTTGTCGAATTATTTCAATATTCGGAACAATGTACTTTATGTGAATCATTTTATTCCACTTTAAAATTCGTGAAATCCAAACACCGATCAGTATTAACTAACCAGCATCTGAAAGAATTACTGAGAAGTGCTGTCACCAATTATTCACCAAATTTTAAAGAATTATCAAAAGAAGTATAATAAATGTGTTTAATTTTTAATAACTTTTATTTATATGTTTTCAATAAATATAATTTCTGTAAAAAAATTTTTTAATACCTTTTTTGCATACCTTTTTAATACGTATTTAATTGCGGCTCGCGAAAAAATTTCAAATTTTGAAAAATGGCTCAGACTATCAAGGAGCTTGGCCACCCTGGTTATATACTATAGCATTTGATTTATATAACTACAGATGTTATCTTATGTAAGGGTTTATCACACCCAGTGCCCAATCTAAAGCATTTTTTAAAATTTTCTTCCTCTACACAATTTAAAGAATTTTTAAAATGATTGGGCACTGGGTTTGATAAACCCTTACATAAGATAACATTTGTAGTTATGTTACTGTGAATGACCGATATCTAGCAAATGTCGAGATTCTCAGGTGAATGTCGGCATTCACACAGTCGTTTCGTGTATGTAAGAAATATTTGCTAAATATCATTATTTCTCACTTACACCAGCAAATGTTGACATTCAGCATGCACTGATGGTGAATATTGAATAAAAATATTTTTATTACGTTAAGACAAAAATGCAACTTTTTAATATGTCAAAATAGGAGAAAGCTTAAGTAACAGCACATTTAAAAAAACTGTTAAACCTAAAATGAATAGTACATTCTTAATCATTAAAGAAAATAATACAATAATAAACTTACATATAAATTATGTGATTAACATTATACAATCTTATTTATTACAACAAAGTAGACTGTTATGGCACTTTGAATTGCACAAGAGTCCCTTGCTTTTACAACTGCATTTATTCGTGGAACACTTTTTTTGTAATGACAGCGTGTATAGCCTTGCCTTCCACTTTTCGAATTAGCTGCAGCTGCTTCTCTCAGCAATATTTCTTGAGAAGAAATCTCATCTATGGAAAGTAACTTTTCTTTACAAATTACAAACTGATCTGTTAATGGTGTCTTTTATTCGGGTATCGCCGACGCCTTACCGACGAACCCTCTCAAACTGCGCCACTCGACCTGACAAACCGATCCCCACTTCACGGGATCAAAAGAACAAAAACGCCATCCAGTGACAAAGTGAGCAGTTTCCACCAAACCGTTGCCGGAAAAAGAGGTACGACCGTGTCCTACCTCCGGCTATCCACAAAGTATTTGGCGATAGACTGTCAACATCGGCTTCTTGGGTGTCATTTCGACCTCCACCAAAGCTTATCTGTGCTTGTCGACATAAACCGGCGATTGTTCGAATGTATAATAATATAACCAAATATTTGGACTTTCACCCACGTATTTTGTGTGTGTCGACATTCACCGGAGAATATCGACATTCTCTAATTTTGGTCTTTCACAGTAACAGTTATATAAATCAAATAACATGATATAACAGACATTAAAACAAAAACCATATAAAGAGTTTGATTATTTTAGCCTACCATTGTCATGTCTATCACAATACTCAGATGGTATGAAATGAAACAATTTCATTGGTCAAGTAGACGCCAATTGAAAATATATCATCTTAAAAAAGTTTAAATATTGTTAATAAAATTAAAGACAAAGTCTGCCCAAAAGGGACCATTTATTTCTTGTGTTCCAGACTACACATTCATGACGACAGACCTTCCTTTATAGGCTGCTACATGCCACCAGGATTTAAAAAAGTCCTTTAAAAAATGTAAATATATTCGATTAAACTTATAAAAAATTTCTAAAAAGGAACTGGTGATATACAGACGTCTTACTTTCTATCCATCCTATGGGCTGTTTCTGCTTTTATCTACTGGAACAAGTGCTGGAAAATGTTTAAATATTGTATTTCTAATGTTAGCACGAACAAACTGTTTCATTTACAGCCAAATATTAAATGGTAATCTGCTAATGAATCAAATTTCATGAAAAAATGGACCAAATATTTAGACTCAGACCCTCGAAAACCACTTAAAACATATTTTGTGTAGGGACTGGTAAACTCATATCATGCAATATCTATTTGAATGCCTCCCTACCAGTGGTCTGATACATAGTAGAAGGGATTATGGAAGTTGCTAACCTTAACATTCGAAAGACAATATTAGATTGTTTAAATAACTAAAAAATTCTTGTAAAAATGCAAGAATAATTGCTTTTATGTGATCCAATAAAAAACTAGTGAAACCAGGTTGAAAAGTAAAGCTCAGCAAAAACATAAAGATACTTGAAGCAGATTTGGCAGTAAGACTCAATATATGAATAAAGTGCACATTACATAGATTACAACTACAGGAAATTTTGAATGAAGCAATGTTGCCATGATAATAAATAGGAAAAATAAACATCGACACAGAAAAAGACTTTGATCTCTACTTTGTGCCTTAAAATTGTTGCATGTACACTAATTTGGCTGACCGTTAGAACATCTTAAGCAATATCAGTGAAAGAAGTTTGGGGGCAATGGGTTTATGAGCTACTAAGGGGAGGGAGTGGGATGTCCAGGTTTTGTGGTAGTTAAGCATGTCCTCATAAATATTGCATTTATAGAAAAAATTATTTAAATTGGTTTGGTTTATTTAGTTATGGAAACATGACACATGAGCAATCTGCCAAGGAGGATGCACCCTGGAAAGACTTTTAAATTGTGGCTAGCTTTACATAAATGTTACTAATGCAAAGAAAACAGAAAACTGCACGTGGCCAGTCCATTGGCCGTGCGTGAACCTACAACCAACTGCCAGTACTCAGTGGTTTTATTCATTTGATTACTGGGGGGATACTTATTGGGCTGCAATATGAAAAAATCGTAGGCCTATAAATTCCCACTATCATCCATCTAGTCTCTGTCCTTCCTTAATCTCGAGAATAGAGTAAGATCGATGAAAGTCGAGACCAAACCAGTAAGAGAAAGATGACCAGATTAATTATATATGAATTTCTGATTTGTACTACCGCAAGTGACATTATTTTAATTTGGAATTTTTCCCTGAACGGCGTTCGATACATAACTAGCACAACTTGATTGCTAACAGGAAAAGTATGATGTACAGGGACAAAACACTAATACACTTTATGCAGGCATGTGCTGTGTACTATCTGTTGCAGTAATGGTGTAATGGCACATCTATTTTGTGTTATATCATTGTCACAGTAATTTAGCTAATACAGTAGAACCTCTCTAATCCGTCACCTTTGGGACTGGGTATATGGTCGGAACACAAAAAAGGTCAGATTATCAGAAAAAAGTAAAATAGACAATCTTTCAACTCAAGAATGACTGTATTGTTCTCTACAGTAAAAACATTGCAATAAATCGCACAAAAGCTGTTATTACTAATTAAAAAGAGCAATACTGTATTTACTACATACTGTACTGTACATACTGTAAAAATTGAAGGTTGCCTATAGTAAAAAATTACTTAGAAAAAAGTCAGTTATAGATTTTTGTTTAGCAGATGAAATTCTAGACTTAGCTGCAGTGTTCCTCCCTTTCTTGATCCACAAAATGTCTGTAGGTGTTGAGGTAAATGTTCAGTACATCGAGTTCTGCTCGATGTACTGAAGGGCAATATCAAAAGTGTTCTTGGCATCGGTGTGTGAAATCTGTGTAGGGGTTTGTCATCATTATTCCGAGTCCTCGTTTTCAGTTTCTTCACTATTATTTTCCAAAACAGCATCAATAATATGGTCGTCATTGAGCTCTTCACTGGTTTCACAGTCTTTGTCACATTGGGCAATCCACTCCTCAACTTCACTGACAGGGACATTCACTTGTACAATTTGTAGATCTTTAATGATTTCCTGCATGTCATTGTTTTGCTCATCTTCGATCTGGTCAGTTTCGGTCATAACTTCTGGCCAAAGCTTATGCCAAGATTTTTGCAGTGTGTCAAGTTTCAGTTCCTCCCATGACTCAGCAATAGTATAGATAGCATCTTTGATGTTGAGCAATTTAATAGCTTCAAATATGTTACAACCTTCTTTGGACTTTTATAAAATTGATCTAATGTACTTTCTGCGATAGCACCTCTTTAACCATTCTATCACTCCCTGATCTGTTGGTTGGAATAAGTGATGTGACATTTGGTGGAAGGAAGATAGCTTTTATGTTTCCTTTCACTAAATCCTTCTCAGATGGATGTGATGGTGCGTTATCCAACAGCAATAGAGCATGAACAGGAAGCTTTTTTGTTTGAAGTTTTTTTCAACAGATGGAATGAACTCATTGAAAAACCAAGATTTGAAAAGATGGCAGTCCATCCAAGCAAATTTTTGATTGCGGTAATAAACCGGCAAGGAAGATAAGTTTGTTTTTGAATGCCCTGGGCTTCTTAGATTTGCCAATAACGAACAGGGGAAGCTTGTGTGTACCTACAGCATTGCTGCAAGGAGCAACGGTTAGCCTATCTTTTATAAGTTTTGTTCCTGCAACGGTTTCATTTGATGCAGTGAGCGTTTTGTTTGGCAGCATTTTATAGTTTAGGCCTGTCTCATCTATGACTTGGCAAAGTAACAGTTCATTTTCTTCGACAATTTCTTGAAACTTCACAGAAAACTCCTTAGCCGCCTTAACATCAGCAGATAGTTTTTCACCAGAAATTGAAACAAACCGGATGCCATGATGGGTTTTCCAGTGATCAATCTAGCCTTCACTAGCTGTGAACTCACTTCTAGCTTCTACTTTTTTGTGCAAAGCTATTACCTTTTCTTTTATAATGGGACCAGATATCAAGGTTCCCTTCCTTCTTTCTTGGCAGAACCCACATCCACAATGCGTTGTCAAGTAGTTTGAGTTTAGGCTTTCTCAATGTTTTCCTATTCTTAAGACCGTTTTCACTATCTATTTTCACCGTGTATGATTCAATGTCTTACCAATTTTTTCTCCAATCTTTTATTGTCGTAATGCCCACATTGAGTTCCCGGAAATTTTTTGGAAAAATTCCTATTTGTTCAGTCTTTGTAGCACTGCTAATTTTTCATTTAATGGAAGAGTAACGTGTTTACATTACACTCCTGACATGTTGAAAAAACACACAAAATTGTACATGTACACACAATGTAAAACATATACTGTAACGAACACAGAAGAACGTGGTGAGTCACCGACGAGTCGGGACAAGTTTCTCGACTCTGACCACGGTCAGATTAACTGGAGTGACGGGCTAGCCGAGGATGGACTAGAGAGGTTCTACTGTATATGATTTAATTAAAATTTTTCAATAATTATTTATAAATTTTTTATCATTGTCATAAAATTGACATGAAAATCAGTGACTTGATATTTAGAAATAAACATATATTTAATTTGTAATTTATTTTATATTTAAACAGATACAACGTATGGTTATTAGTGGTGGAAATTTCAAACCAGATACTCTCAAGCATAAAGAAGTAGTGTGTCTATTATTAGATGATGATGAATTGGAAAGAAAGTGTATGATTTATATTTATCTGCTTAATTAATTTTAATAAATTAATTTTTACAAATATTTATATTTGTAGTTCAACAAAAACAGGAAGAACGCAGGCAGCAAGAAGATGGTAATAGTTGGGAAAGAAAAAGGAAACGAGAAAAATTAGAAAAAAAGGGATGTAATAAAAGAAAAAAGGCAGAAGAAAATGTAACAATAGCTGCTGCTTCTCTTTCAATTGGACATGAAGTTGATTCTGTTCAAGGTTTTGATTCAGTGCCTCCGAGTCCTTTCAGTGAGGTTAGTTTTTAACTATTTGCTTATTTCTGTATGCTAATTTTAATGCATATGTACAGAATATTTTAGGATTATTTAATCAGGTACTAGGTTTTACTGTATTATGAAATTAGCTGAATTAATTTTTAATATGACGTAATAACAAATGATTAAATAGGTATATATAAGAATATAGCTTAAATAATGGAAATTACTTTATTAAAAAGATTTATAGTTGAATTTTCTGAGAAAACCAGTATTTTTTAACTTTTGTAATGAAAAAATTAATTAGAATTGCATGTATAAATAGATTACTGTATACATTACATGCTATTACTGTATATAGCCATAACAAAACTTTATCCCATTACATCTTTGTTACATTAAAAAAGATAAGAAAATATACATTTGAATAAATTATATTAATTGATTTTCATATGATCAGTAGAATTATACTTGGTGTTAAAAAGCACTTAATTAAATTTAAACATTATAAATTTTAATAATTTTTTATTCAACATTTACTTGTAGCATTCAGTGAGTAGTTTTATTATTGCTCAAGATGACACGAGTAGTGAAGGGCCTCTTGTGGTAGATGATGGTAGTCCAGCAGCTACACCAGTACCAGCATTAACAAATCAGCCAGGGTTACAATCAGGTATGTAAAATAAAGTAAAATATAATCAGTCAAATTATAAGTCATCAGAATTTAAAATTATAGGACCTGAAAATGTAATTGGACAAGTGAATAATTTAAATGCTAAAAAACGTGGGAGTGGTAGAAGTCGTGGAAGACCTCGTGGTTCTGGACGTCGTGGAAGCCGAGGTAGAGGAAACACATTGGCAACTGCAGCTGCCGAATTAGCAGCTGCACAAGCTGGCAAATCTGCAGCTTTTGCAGCATATGGTTACACATTACAAGGCTCTTCACCATCCACTTCAGGTATATAATGTAGTTTTGTATTTTTTAGTAAAATATAATAATTACATTTAAAATGATTTTATTAATAGCTTCACAACATGGAGGGATTAGTAGAAGCTTGTTACATGTGCCAATGAGACCATCTCATCAAGGTCAGAGATTTGGGAAAAGGTCACCTGGTGATATGAAAGTGTCGGCTGATTCACTGCCAGCTTCAAGTTCAATGTTTACAGGATTTTATGTTCAGGGTACACAATTATAGCAACTATTTCATCATGTAAATATACTTCATGTCATGCAGTACATCATTAAAAAATTAACTATTTTTAGCAGCATAAAGAATCAACTATTCTCTCAGTTATACTAGAAAGCTGCCTCTAAATATATATGTTCATAACATGGAATTGATTGGCAGGCAGCAAATCTAAATTGATTTTATTGATATTTCCTGGTACATTTAAAAAATGTGTATAATGGAATATAGTGATTTACAGAATTGGTGATAGAAGATTAAAATACTAAAGGAAATCTGAATTTCATTGAAGACATATGTTGGACATTTAAAAGTGAAGTGGATTGACTCAGTACTTGTTTTGGAAAGAGATATAGAGATATATATATATTGTACACAAACAAACATATATAAACACACACACACACATGCATACATACATACATACATACATACATACATACATACATACATACATAAATATAATTTTTTACACACATGTTTTGAAGCAACAATTTTTGGCTGTTAGCATAATCTGTTAAATAATTACTGTTCTGATTATATTAGCTTAAAATTTGTGTAATATTTGCTCTCTTGAAAACTTATGTTGAAACATAGTGCTCAGACTCATCAATTTCTATGCAATGAAGCAAAACTAAAAAAATTAAATTGTATTTAAAAAAAATTCTGTTTTATAAGTGTTGCTATATAATAAATTAATAAGTTTTTGTAAAAATACTGTTAATATTTAACTAGTCAATAGTTACTTTATTTATATATTTGTAAAATTATTTTAGATTATGTTCCACTATACAGTTTTTGATCTCTTTGCTGTTTAATGAAAATATTGCTATGAATATCACATACTTGATCAGACATGTTCATAAAGATTTAACTTCATATCATGGCCAAAATCTAGATCAATTTTAGTGTGATATGGAGTTCAAATATTTTAAAGCTGTGATTATGTGATTTACCATAATCTCATGGTTTATATATATTGATTTTGTTGATTTAACAATGTATAGTAGTGTTCATTGCACAGGTAAAGTTTATCAAATAAATGATAATGTTGAACAATTACAAGTGTTTTTCATTTAATTTTTTTAATAATAGTTTTAAATGCTTAAAATAAATTATATTTAGCTTATTGTAAGTTAAACTTACAATAAGCTAAACATAATTATGGTACTGATGCATAAATTATATTGAAATATACATATACACATAATTGGAAAACACCAAGCTTTCATGTTAAGTTTAATGCATAAAATAACTTGCAGATTTTTTTAATATGCAAGATTATTTTCATCGATTACTGCTAACCAGATCTTAATTATATAAAATAGTTAACAGAGATACCTGACATTGCTTGAGGAAATTTGATATTGCACACTTGACATTGTAGAAAATTTTTAAAAAAGACAATTTATGTTCAAAAGTAGTGATTATATATATAATTTTTCATTTTTGGGCAATACAATTTCATCCAACACTTTCCCTCATTCCAAAGGGAATATAAGCTAATGAACTTAAAGCTTACTTGAAAAGTTGAGAATGTGTGCAAGCTAGAGTTGAAATTAACATGAGTTCATTCACAGATTGATTTATCTGCCAGCCATTTTGTTCAGTTGCCCACTCTCAATGATGGAAAAGTACTAATAATTTAAAAAACAGATTGATCATGTAACATTATAAAAGCTAGGTATCAGTTTGGAAATTTGATCCTTGAATTACAGTTAAAAATGTAAAAGAACTATTGATAACCTCTAGTTACAATAGTTATTTTACAGTGTGATATTCAGTAGTGCCCAATACTACAGAATACCACAGTTTCATTGGGCAGATAGATACATAAACCATGTTGTTGATTGATAACCAGTTTTGAACCTATAGTTTTGGGCTCTAACCTGGACAAGATGATGGTTTTTAGAAAGTTTGGTTGCATTTGCTTATATCCTGTTCAAATGTATAAAGAACAAACTAACAATACATTCATTATCGTATCTTTACATACAGATAAATGGAATATGCATAAATTATAAAATAATAATATAATTTGATATTAAAAGTACCTGTGTATAATTCAGCATTTTGTGTATCCTATATCCAGCAGTATTACAGATTCAAATCTTGTGAGTTATTTAAAGTTTGGTATAAAATAAAAAATTTATTGATATAAATTGACTGAAAATAAAAGTAAAATTATCTTGAAAGGTAATTTTATAAATTATAAAAACGGTGAATGTATGTACTGTACTATACCTGTCATATGTATGAAAGTTGGAAATGCATATCAAGTGCACTTTAACTATACTACGAAGAGTTAGTGATGACAATCGATAAATCGTGATTAAAATAATTGCCCAGATCGTTTGTTTTTTTCGAAATCGAACTACGATTATGACGTATCACTACGTTTCGTATTTGAAGCACAAATGCACCCATAGCTGTGTGCGCTACCGCTACATGACCTGGGTGCATCTATATGCGTCTTACGTTCAATTTAAAGTTTAGTGTAGCTTTTTTTCAATAATTGTAATTTAAAAGACATATTTGATTGCAATTTTATTTCCTTTTGTTACTGGGTGTGTTTATAAATACTAACTTGAATAGTATGTAAATTTTATTTATGCTAAGCTTGCAAAAAACGAAATGAAAAACTACTGCTATTACAATTTATACATATGCAGTATAAACGTTCTTTGCGTACAATTATTGCAAGCTTAACGTTACTTTTTCTTTAAGAGTGGGATCGATTGGTATTAAATTGTGTATTGGATGCTATTAAATTTTGGTGAATAAAAGTCTTGGGGGTGGGGAAATAGACGGTGGACATATCTCGAGTAGGGTCGGACTTGACGATTTACTCGTATTAGCACTTACAATTTTTGATAAAATTAATCCATATCCTCAAAATTAAGTTTTTTGCCATTTTATAATAAAAATATGAAAAGTTTTTAAAAATATAACAGATGGCGCCTCTAAAATTTTAAATGCAGTAAAAGTTAAATAACTTGTTGCTGCAGTTTTTGATTACAGTGATACCTCAGGTTACGAACGCCCCAGCATACGAAATTTTCAGGATACGACATGAAATTCGAACATATTTTTGCTCCACGATACGAACAAAAACTCACCATACGACGTTACATTAGTTCGCATTTTTCATTTGTTTTTCTTACTACAGTTATTTTTTTAATGTATTACTAGGCTTTAATTTGAGTATGTTTTTCGCGTTGGAACGAATTATTTGGTTTCACATGTAATCGTATGGGAAAAGATGATCCACCTTACGACATTTTCATGATACGATCTCAGTTTCGGAACGGATTAATTTCGTATCCTGAGGTACCACTGTAATTGATAATTCTGTAATCGACCCATCGATTAATTGGTCTGATTCAATATCGATAATATAGTAGAACTAAACGGAACAAAAAACTGGTATACACGATCCGTTATTTACCATACAAAACCTACTTAACCTCATACCGTGAAAGGATTTTTTAACAAGAAGTTGCAGAAACACTAATTGATTTATTGTATATTAAATAAAATTAAAAATAGTTAATAAAATGTCTGCTTATCGGGAAAAGATTAAAAATGTATCGATAATCGATTATTATTCCTTATCGAAGTTAAAAAATACTCAGTTAAGCTACCGAAAGAGCTATTATAATTACGAGCTTGGGTGATCTGAGGTAAGCTGTATCCGGTGATTACGCGAAATCTGTCATCAGGTATCTTCGTCATGCGTACGAATAATACACAATATATAGTTAAGAACATACAAATTCTGTATCTTACACTATCTCGTAATTTTTTGAACAGAAGTAATCCATCAAAATACTATTTTTAGATGACAGCTTACGATAAAACTAGCACAAAAAATTAGTCAAACATTTCAAAACGGAAGAAGAATCACGCACCGTGAAAATTTTCGAAAGTAACTAATATTACAAAAATCTTTAAAAGATATATCATCCACGAAGTTGTCAATTTATTATTTTATTGAGAAACTGTAGTTCTTATAGATATTTAAGCTTTTTTTTAAAAAAAAAATATATATATATATATTATCCAATGGTAAACAAAATGTTGAATTTTCAGGTATGGATATCGGATAATTTTACGATTCTTGAAGCTGATTTCACTTAATGTTTTCTGAATTGAAGGATTCGTTAATCATTTGAAGCTCGGAGTGATTATTTTGAAAAATATTAAATAAATCACTTTATATTCTAACATATTTTAAGCTTTTTTGAGCCACTCCCGGAATTTAACGCATCTTGTATTTAGTTTTCTTTATTTACATTTAGCGATACGTGTATCGTATGAGACAGGCGTGTTCTTAAAAGAGATGAATCTAACGGACTGAATCGATAAAACCATTGAACATTCTCGCCTCCTGAAGTTTTCCGGGTTTTCTTTACCTGTCTAACACCTAAATAGAGATAATTTTCCCATAAAATATCTTCGAATGATCTTAGTAGCTCGCGTTGCCTTATTGCAGACCTCTGCAACCAGTGGCACAATGCCTCCAGGAGGAGGATAACCAGAGTTTATGGTAAGCACGTGAATATGTTAAATATATGTTGGTTCAAAAGGGATAATGTTTTGCCTATTACGTGTTTATTGCCACTGAAGTTTGTAACAGAAGGAATTTCTAACAAGCATTTCAAATTTTTACCTTTGCAGTCATACTTCACAGAATACGTACACGTGTCATAGTCGTCATCTGAATTTTTGTGAAGCGACAAGTACAGTATATATCTGTCGCGTGCATCTGTGATCACGGAATCGAGATCCCGATCATGTGCTTTTCGTTCTAAGACTGCGGATACTTCGTCCAGGTGATTCCAGAATTGTTGAGAAATAAGAAAATGGATTATAAACTAATTTCAAATATGTTTGTATTATCAGAAGAAAAAGAAAACGGTAAATCAGTTTTGTGTGTGTGTGTGTACCTTGTAACTCGTGCAGTTTTTGTATACTTATGGTGTGGCACGGAATTGTGGAAAGTATCTAGGTATGCTGTGCGTGAGAAAAAGTTGCGAAGGACTTTATATCAGTGTAATCCGATCCTGTAATAAAACAATTTATTCTTTCCTTTACAGGTGTTTTCTACAGATATTCGTGTTTCTTATTTATTACTCTTTCCGCCCTGCGAACAATAAGAAAGCCTCTTTCAGGTCAACAATGGGGCTCAACATATCCGTGATAGATTACCCCAGATTTTTCGACCGCCCAGATTCGATCTCGGGTTAAGCTTGCCAATAGCCAAAGAGTTTATTCTAGGATTAAAAAATTCCGGAAGATTTTTACTCTCGGCAATACGGAAATTCTGTTGCCAATTCTTTAGTGTTTTAAGTCAGAGAATTTAAAAAGTTTTGCCAATTTCTGGCGAATCCGGGAGAATTGGCAATCCTATTCCGGGTCTCTCTGAGCGTTAGGCCGACGATTTAACTGCCTCGACCTCTCAAAAAGACGATAAATATACAGTAAAGCCGGTAACATACGTACTGTCAGTCTTTTTTTTCATTCACACGTTCAGGTATACCAGGCAAGACCTCTGTTCAGGTATATCGGTATGTGTGTACCCGGCTTAAAAGTTCTTATTACCTGGATTCTCGAACAGCTGCGCGCCCCCACACTTTGAGATATCCTAATTTAACAATAAGAATGTTTTTTAATGTATTTTCTATAAATTATAACATTTCCAATAATTTTTATTGTATATATTCGCACTTATGCTGGTTGATTATAACTTAGATGCCTTGGCTAATAACATTCGTTAAATACAGTATGTTGAAATTGATATATTTTATATGGAATAAGTAATATTATTAATGTATTTCAACAAAATTCATGGTTCTCTGGATATTACGGTACGTATGCGGTATAATAATAATGCTTTGCTTGTAATTATTATAACTTGATTTGAATGTAAACTGTTTAAATTCGAGTTTAACTATAGTATCACACTATATTTAGTCAACTGCAAATTATTGAATTCTATTTTGATTTTTTATGTGTTTTTA